TCAAAACTGATGCCATGAGCTTGCAGAAAACAATCATCTTAATCGAGCTATTCCACTACCCCATGTAGCCAAAGCATTTCTTGGCAACTTTATTGCAGATGCTTCATCTGTCACCCCCTGTTTTCATGCTGTAGTGCATGAAAACCCTTCTCCCACAGCAGCTAGTTTTACCTCCAGACAACAGAGGCATTAGTTTTAGGTGCCGAACACACCTGGGTTTTTAAGAAACATGCACTGCTTCAGAAATGAAAACCTGTTTGTATGTGCCAATGGCAACATTCCTTACTGCGCTTGGGAAACAGACATATGGACTGTGGGGGTTAGACTTTAACTATAGAGCTATACACACAATGAAGGAATGCTGCCTGCCATCATTAAAAAAGAATGCAAGTAGTAGGATTTTCTGATAAGGTGTCTGAGCAGATTTCTTTAGCCAACAACCATTCCGATACAGCATTTCTCTTCATAAATAAACTGGAAGCAGTCAATCTGAGCCAGTGGAGCTCTGCAAAGGATAACAATAGTACATGGTCCATGCCACTTCTCTAGTTTTATTCTCACTGGATTTTAGCAGCTATACTGGTAAATGCTAGTACTCCATCTCAAAGACTAGGATATAGTCGTAAACAGAAAAACCCAGCCTAGATTCAATTGAAACCAGAGCTTGTGAATACTGTGTATTCTACTTCTGGCCTACATTTGCACGTGTGGCTGTACGTCTTCCCTAGCCAAGAGGCTTTCAGAAGAAGGGGACATTAAAGTATCCCTTGATCGCTTGACTAACAGCAAGGGGTTTATTACAGCCACTCTTGGCCTGCACTTTTTATCAACTGGGAACACAATGAAGTTGTGATTGAATTCTCCCAGCACTGCCTTGGAAAACCAGAGCAGACCAAGGAAGGGCATTTAGACTAGTCATCAACTTACTTTCTATTCAGGCAAGCACTGCTAGCAAACAGCGGGGTGTTGGTAAAATGGCTTTTGAGCCGAGATCTAATATAAATTCACAATTTTTTTTTTTTGCCACACTACACTAGGTAAATATACCAATGGACCTCTTCTACACTTCTGAGAGTTGCTGCATGCTGGGAAGGCAGTGGCAAAGGCTGAGGTTATTAATGCCTTTCATTCCATTCTCAGGTGCTTTCCGTTACAGCTAGAAATGAGAAAAAAAGGCTCTGTGTAAAGTATAGAACTTTTCATCACCCCATAATTCAGCATCTACGTTCTACTTTATACCTTTTTCATGTATGCCTCTGCCAGAGTAGGTACAAAGAACAGGAGGTAATCACATAAGCAGGAAACATCTTACTGTAAAATACACCTGAAAGGGCAGGAAAAAGATCTGAGACAAGGCCACAACAGCCACCTCTCAAGATTTTCCCTTACTTTTTCTAAGGGCTTAGCTCCTTCTGTGCATTCAGTGATGGACAGATATTCAAGAGAATGAAATCTAGAACCCCCCCGGGACCCAGGAATGGAAAACTATTTTGAGTCTTAGAAACAAGAGAGTGAAGAACATGCTCAGCTATGCTGCAGTCAGTGCTCCCTCTGCTCCACCAGCTGCAAAATTATCATTAAATCTTCTAATTACTGTCCTAAGTAATAGAATTTCTGGAAAAGTCATGAAGAGAAGCAGCAATTCCTTCCCCAGTAGTGCCCCTGTATGGCAGCACAGTCCCTTCAACCATGACACGAGGAAGGCTGAGAAAAAACCTCCTGATATTATTACTAATGCTGGAAACACGCTTTTCAAAACTAGTAATTACCATGACACAGGAACTATGACCTCGTGAGTAGTAGGAACCAGAGAGCCACTATTAACCAATTTCACACTACACCTCACTTTCATTAATTTAATACCAGGAACAAGAACCCTGTGAGAGGATCAGGTAAAGCAGATGCACACTGTGAATCTTGAGACTTTTCTTGAAGGAGGCTGCTAAAACATATAGCTGCATCACTGGCAGCTTAAGGCCTAGTTAATACCTTTTACAAGAAACTACTAAACTGAGGAATATTCTTATTGAAAGACACTTACTGCTATAACCAGACTTTATGAGCCAACCTGAGCAGGTTACATGACACAAACCTCTGACACAAGCAGAAAATACAACAGATACCTGCACTGCATTGTTTCAGACTAAGACAACAAATCATTTTGCATTTTCCTTCTCTTACCATTAATGCAAGTAATTTCAAATGTCTTGAAACAGTACTTAGTAGACTTGTATTGAAAAGTAACAAATTACTTTTGCTTTCTGACAGTAACCACAGCATTTGTTCTGCATTTATATTGTGCCTAGCACAAGGGATCCAAGACACTGCACCATTCTAAGAAACAGCCATAAGAACGTTAAAGTAATGTCTGACTGTCATGTCTTTGCTTAGATCCAGTCAAGCAATCACCCCCTGCAAAGCCTTCTGATTGTTAATCACTAGGTGGAGTGAGCAATCATCTGTAGTTATTAAAGGAAAAAAACACACCCCAAATAATCTCAACATTTCCATTCTGCTGTAGATGTTGAGAAGTAATATTATACCCGGCTTTTTTTCAGTCTTTTGTCTTCTGGGGGTGGCTCTCTGTAGGAGCCAAGATAACCGACTGGATAGACTGTGGGTCTGCTCCAGTCTGGAACCTGCCCTGTTTCTTGTTCTCTATGTGTCTGCAAACAACATTAAGGCTTTCTTCTACAAACTGAGTTCACAAAGGGCTGGGAAGCAGACCCCTGGTGATGAAATAAGGTACAGAGGAGCCCAGCTGTGTTTGTCCAGCAGCCTTCAATCAGGGAAACTGAAGCTAATTTCTGGAAATCAGCTGTCATCTGAGAAGAAACGTTTCTCTGAGTTATTCACATCAAGCTCACCTGTACTTATTTTACATCAGGGAGAAGTTCAACCCTAGTTGTTTCAACCAGCTTTTATCAGCAGAACAATTTACTGACATCAGATCCTGGACAAACAGGTTCATCATAACAATTAGCTATGCCTTAAATGACACAAACAATTGCTCCCTACTTGCTAAACTTAGTTGCTTAGTATATGATCAAACTAACAAACCCAGAACTGCCACAGATTTTAATCACTACTTAATCATTATTTTTGCTTTGCAGTTCAGGGAAATGGAGACTATTTTTTCCACTCTTCACTTAATAGACACTGTGAGCCCATTTGTATTCTGCTTCCAACTTGTAGCAATAAAGGCCTTTTTAGCATCACATAATAACTGCATTAAAAGGCCTCTTCATAATCACACAATAACACTTTTTATAGCTCGGCCCTCCCCCATATCTTTTATCTGGTTACAAAGTTCCTCAGCCCCCAAATAATGCTGAATAACTCCCCATTGATTTGGAAAAAAACCCTCTGCTAATGCAACTTCCTGTTCATCTGTAGTTAAACATAATTAATTTTGCATTTCAACAAATGAAATGAGCTCAAATTAAGCCATGATTTTGGTAATAGGCAGGGAGGATGTCTCCCTGCTGGGCCAAGACTGAGGCTAACACAGCAGGCTTTACCTGTTAAGTAAATAACATGCCACTTTAAGCAGAGGAAAATGTGTTAATTGCTGGGTACTGGTTCTGTATCTGTATAAAGTCAAAAGGACTGATGTGAAACAGTGTGTGAATGAACAGCAGTGAGCTGTAGTCACCCTTTCACCTTAACAGCAGAAAGGCTAATGTACACACTGCTCCTGAAGATCTATCTGGGGCCACGAAAACAGAACATCTTGGAACACTAAATACACTTGGCTACAGATTTGCATTAATGCAAATTCACTATGGGGTTATATCCATCACAGCTCCCTAGAAACCATGTGAGTTCAATCCCTCCCACATCCTTCCCTTCCCGTAAAACCACTACTGCTTTAGCTTTCCACTACTTTTACCTCTTCTCCTCAGAATGTTTCAATTTGAACTTTGGAAGTAAGGATGGACCTAAATCTGTATGGCCTCACAGCATGAATTATTATCATGTTCCAAACGTGCTACACAACAAATTTACCATTTCTCTGTAGCTTCAAGAAGTGGGCAGGAATCTACAGTAGAATCACAGAATCATAGAATAGTTACGGTTGGAAAGGACCTTCAGATAATCAAGTTCCAGCCTCCCTGCCATGGGCAGGGACACCTCACACTAGAATGCACTTGTATGTGCAAGATAGTCTGCACCTCTCTGCATCTCTGGAGACGCTCTTAGCAGAACAATGTCGTATCTTTGTACTCCCTTTTAAAAAGATGCACACCCTCCAGCTTCTGGACAGCTCAGTCAAGGACAGGAGACACCAACTGCAACCTGGGACCTGGCTAAGCCAGTATCACAATTTTTCACCCTTCTAAGGCAGAGCTCATTTGTCTGTCTTCTCAACAACATAAATCTGAGTCACACCAATTGCTTTTATGACAGCTAGCACAGAACAAAGCATTGCCTCTGCCACACCTTTGACAAGAATCCAACTTTTACTTCCCAAGATAAAGAAGTATCAGGATCAACTGGATCTAAACAGTTTTTGGCACCTTCAGGCACCTTAAGGTCACTTAAACAATTCCCCTAAAGCTTGGGATGCTACTCTGCCCTGGTGTAACGGTTCTACCAATAGCCCAAATAATGCAGACTGGTAGGGCACTTCGTATTTAGAAAAGAGTCACTGCGGCAGCACCAAGGAGGTAGAGAAAAGGAGATAAAAGCAAACTAGACTCATCCCTTTATACAAACACAGCAGGCAGGACTGCAGAGAACAAGCCTGGAGCCTCGCAACTGCAATACAAACAGAAATGCCATTTGTAAGGATGCTCTTCCACTGGAGATCAGTCATTTTTCAGCGTCACTGGGAAGCATCTACCTCTTAAACACTGTACCTGTAACTTGACTTACTTCTAGCACCAGTTCCCCAATTAAACTCCACAGTGCGTGCTACATTCCAGAAATAAACAAAATTGATCAGGAATAAAGTACTACTGGGTCTATTGCCCACAGCTCTTAGAGTAAGGGTAGGATTTGTAAAGCTTGTGAGCTCAGCAGATTATGATGAAAGCCCTCAGGATTTAATATACAACAAAGGCTTAACAAGACAAAGACATGCCTCCTGTACATGGTCACTTTATTAAAAATAAGCTGACTGCTCAGGAGGAGGAGGCAGGCAGCTGGGATTGATCTCAGCTGGTCTGCGGATCCAATTCCTCCCCCGTTGCCATGGTAACCTCTCAGTAATTCTGCCAGGAATTGGAGGAGGGGATTGTAGATACCTTTGGGGAATATCAGAACATAAAGATTCAGGGAGGAAGCAAACAGCAGCTCACCACAGTGCCACAACAAAATGCAAAGAAAAAGACGTGACCAAAGCAACATTGAGAGGAGAACCATCTGAAAAACAAAGAACAAGCCACAGGCTAGTGGCTGCATCTGGTATGTGAGAGGATGCTCTTCACCCTCTGCTGTCATCACACTGTAGACACCATGAACAGGCAGTGCTACACGCTGCACAGAGGGCATTTTCCCTGCCCATCACCGCAGTATACTTCTAGCCGAGCACAGTGCTCTCACCCATAGGTTTTTGAAATCATTGAGACAGCAGTGGCTCTTGCAGAGCATGCAAAAAAGTAGGGGCAGCTCTGATCCCCTTCAGTGCTTCTGGCTGCAGACCCTCTTCCTGCCCAGCCAGCGCCAGTGCTACCATCTTCTGTCAACTTTACCCTGGCTCCAGCTGGATAAAATGGTACCCATATTAGGACCAGGATGGATTTATGGGATGAAAAGAACCATTACCAAAATGATCTTACGGCTGCTGCGGGTGGGAGAAGGCTAACCTGCTTTTTGCTTTAAGAAAACCAGATGTTATGTTTTGAGGCAAACGCTTCAAATTGTCATATAAAATAGTGTAACCTTGCTCTTTTAAAACCTGACTGCCCATGGGTCTGGGTGTAGGCCCACAGTGCACCCTTACAGGGGACAAAACTACCTCTCTGAGCCAAAAGCCTTGTCCGCAAGTCCATCTGCCATTCTGCAAATGTCTGTAGGTTATTTACAACTACCCCCTGCTTGCCTAAGCAGCTGAAAGCCTGACTGCGTAACCACAAACAGGGAATTCGGAAAGATTTCATCTATGCTTAATTTAAGTCAAATTCATTTTGATTCTGGACAAAGTAACATGCCAGTGTTGATGCAGGCAGTCTCTGCAGAGAAGAGGGAGTAATTCAGATTGCACCCACACCTCTTGCCAAGGTTGCGACTCCATCCTTTGTATGCACATGATCTTTTCAAACACTGCTCAGAAGTGCTTTCAATTTTAGAGCTGACCACAAAATACACCCCCAAAAAATAATACTAGTAACAGCTTTTCCTGTAGAAACTTATAAACCAAAGTAAAGCTTCTCAGGCATATTAGCAGTTTTATATGGAACACAGTTTTATGTCCCTTCTGATGACATTCTTGATAAAAGCTTTTTATTGCTATGGATCATAAAACTAATAGCCCTATTTGCCACAGCAAATATTTTCATTTACCTGGGGCTGAGTAAGCCAAGATGCTTTATGGAGCCATTAAATCAGAGCACGGACAATTTTAATTAAAAACTAAGGAAGTCGTAATCTTCCACTAAAAAGAAATGTGGGTGACTTTGCATTGTGGGTATAGAAAGAACTGAGAAAAGATGAGAAAAATAGGATTTGTAAAATCTCATGAGTCAAGTCTAATCTTGCTGCAGCTAGTTCATCCTGGCAGTCTGCTGAGCGGGATGCACACACATTGAATTCTTTTGTGGAACAGCACTGTTGCTTCATTGGCAATGCACAGCAGTAGCTAACAACCCTGCAAGAGCTGAAGCTCTTGGGATGTCTGTGTCATTCCCAAAATTAAGCAATCCCTAAAATCTGCAAGCTCCAGTTCCCCTTCAGTCTGTCATTTCGTCTTAATGAAGGCAGTAGCACTGCCAGCATAAGATTTCATTTTAAAGTCTTGAAAAAAATTGAACACCTACCCCCCAACCTTCTTTATATGGTGATTTAGTTTTGGGATACATTTTTTTAGCAATAGGCAAAGCTGGACTATCTGGAAAAGCTTGAAACTAAGCATTTACTTCATAGAAATTACTAACTTCAGTTAGTGAGAGTGGGAATTGGTTTCTCCTTAAAATTGTACCTCTTCAAAACTAAAGTACTTAGATATCAAGGTAGCAGGAACAATACAGCCCTCATCCATAGACCTGATATGGCAGAGCTGACACTCTGAAAGCTAGTGATGTGCAAGAATCTGACACTCCACCTGACCCCTTCAAGAAGCCCTCTCATTAAGGCATGGTAGTTTTGGAGGAGCCTTGATTAATGTGGCTATATTCTTCACATCACATTCAGGAATCTGCACAGCTTGTGCTGGCTGACCTGAACATCTGGCCTCTCTGTTGACATGTTTTCATAATCTTCTTTGCATCTGGAATATAGAGCTTCTCTCAGCAGCGCCTTCCAGCACAACAGTGCCTTACACCCAAGTCAGAAGTGGCAGAAGAAGCTAAGGAGACTTGTGAGCTGGCCTTTCTTTTCTTTGAGCTGCTGAACACAATAGGAAGATTTAATTTACCTACTCTCTCCTGCACATTCTCCCTGGCTTCCATGTCACTTGCTTTGTAGCTTGAACAATGCAAACTGCCCAGCTCTGCCCTGTTGACAATATAGATGGTTCAAGTGTTTCATTTGTTGTAAAGTAGGTTTGTTTTTTTTTTAATGCAAGCAGCACCTCATATTGAGGCTTTTTCTGAAGTTTAATTTCCTTACTACAACTTCCTTTAGAGCACTAATTACTTGTGTAAGCTGGAGTGTTTCCTTAAAAGCTTTCTAAGGTACTGAAATGCTGAATTACTGCCTGTACCACTACTTTCAATGTTGACTGCAGCTGTAGTTTTAAATGAAGGGTTTGCATAACAGGCTTTGTCACTATTTTCCCCATCATGTTGGGATGGGTGCTTTGCTCTTAATGGCAATAAAGCATGAAGCTAACTATCAGGGTCTGTCTAAGATGAAGATAAAAAGCTCTTGCTTTTAGTTGCTATTCACCTCAATTTTTAAGTAACCTCATTTCATCCGAACTCCTAACCAATGCGCTGAGACATTATACACTGACCCAGCACTTTATATTCAAATACAGCATGACTCAAAAGGCTCAGCTCTCTCAGCGGCCAAAGAGTGTACTCAGGAGTCACTGATTTTGCACACACTACATCAAAAAAGCAGACTAGTTGCCTGTTGTCTTGTTAAAAATAGAGAATACATGTCTTTTCTTCAAACCTCTTTACTTACCCCTCTTAAAGGAGGGCACTTCAAGAGCCTTATCAGGCCCGACTTAGAGGCTGGTAACACACAACATAATCAAAGCCAGCCCCAAGAAAACAGGAGGAGAGTATGAAAGATAGCATACTTTTCCAAGAAAAAGATAACCAGTCAAGCTTTGCGCAGTGCCAGAGGGCCAAACAGAATGCAAGCGTAACATGAGTAAAGTCAGCAATATTAGACCAGGACTTGATTTGGCTTACAATCAATAAAGTCCACAGGTGCACATTTTTAATCCAAAGCATTTTCCACATGCATAAGAGTGTTCTTGCTGTATGGGATTTGCTGTGTCAGCATCTATTTGATATTTAGTCTTCAGGATCCACAACTTGAAAATTCAGCCTGGCAGAATCGTGGCATAAAAGCAGTCTGGACCTACACCATGAAGGCAGGCAACTAAACCAGTGTAACATTAACAGTGGGAACTTCACCTGGTGGAGTGCCTAGGGAGCCTTTTACTTGCTGAATACCAAAGCTGAGGGAAATGCACCAGAGTAGCCAGAGGAAGCATGTAAAGCATGCTAAGCCTCAGTGTATCTCTTGCCAGAGGGACTGGCCCGTAACATTCCCACTGGAGATCTCGTTCAACCACCAGTCAACTCAGGATTTGTCAAGCGAAGTAACCAAGTGAGACTGCAGCTGCTAATGAGCAGACTTTGGCCAGATAACATCACAGAACACAGTTTCCAAAAGGCGATTCCTTATCATTTATAAATGACACAACAAGCAGAGATATGCTATTAGCTAGCAGGGTCCCACAGTTACACGCAGATAAAAAGCAAGAGTAAGTACCACTGATTTACAGCTGACGCTGTAGTAGATACGAATTATCAACACTGCCTTATAACCTAAAACTGCAAATTTAAACTGACCCATTCTTCTGCAGTATATTAGGTGAAAAAGAAACTTAGTGGCTTGCGTTTTACTGAAGTAACAGGAAGGTTTCTTCACTACATAAAGCTACATTGGAAGAGTAGAAGGCATAGGAAAGCAAAAGAATAAGAAAATACATTAGTATTCATAAGGGAATAGTACATTAACATCAGATGACTTTTACAGAAGAGGAATTAACAAATGTGTATTTTACAACAGAAAAAGCACAATGCTATGGCATTATACTGCAGAGGCAGTCTGGAACCACCACTGGACATTTCTAGCAATTACTTCACCTATTCTCCTCCCTGTTTTTCAGCTTGGATAATGGGCTTTTGGCATTTATAAATGACACAACTGCAGAACACCAGAAGCAACTATAGTAAAGCTGGCAGGTTTGAAATAGTAAAGTAAGCTCGTCACAAAAATCTAACTGTAAAACAGTTTCAAGAGCTACTCCAAACTTCATGGCATGTGGCCTCCTTGCACAATTCCAGTTCAGTTTCTTCAATACACCTTCCTCTCTGGAGACAAAAGACCCAAGCAAACAACAGAAGTAATGGGAGTGCTAAACTGAAGAGACAGCAGGCACAGCACAACTGCTTGAAAGAAAGGAAATCCAAGCATTCTGTATCTAGGGCTTTTTTCCCCTCCCTCCTTTGGTTATAACACCTTACAGCCACACAGGTGGAAGCTGGAGTACTACTACTAATGCCAGCAGAACCACACCTGGAAATCCTCACACTACTAATCCTTTGCAATTACAAACAAGGCTGGTGAAGACACTTTACCCCAAGGACAAAGTACTGTCACAGGGCAGGCTATTACATATTTCTGGGAATTTGGTGAATTGATCGTGCTGCCTCTGGAAATACCACTATAATTTGCGGGTAGACTGTGAGAACATCTAAATTAGTACGTTAACAGAAGATCATTTGCGACTACCACACTGATGGAACCTCCAGAATTTCAGAAAATCATTAGAACTATTAGCATCATTAAGGCATCTTTCCCTTGAATAAAACCTAAAGCATTAATATAATGAAAACAGAAGCCAAAAGATTAGAAAGAATAACGTGCTAATACTGTGGCCTATTTGCTCAGAAAGCACAGGAATAAAAATGCCTCAGGGAAGAGTGAAATGAGCTTGTTTACTGCCTCTTCTCTTTCCTGCACTACTGTTTTAACTACCTAGTTGTCTGACTAGGGTCAAGTTACAGGCAATAAATTAGAGGCCCTCCTCGTTCAGGCACTAAAACACATATCAGAGGAATAGTTTACACAAGCTCAGATTTAGACATCTTTTACAGCTAAGCTCAAAAAGGGGTGATCTCAGGGGAGAAACAAAAAGAATGTAAAACCGATCAAACCTGCTCCCTGCCCCTCCTAGTGTATCTAAATGTCTTGCAGCATCAGCTGTGACTGACAGGATAAACAGTAACCAAATTGCCAGAAGACAAGGAAATGCTTCATGTATTGTCCTCTGAGAAGTCTCCTGGAAACCTAATAAGAATTCACCATGGCAAATATAAGCAACTCAATCCATGTTTAATGACAGGGCACAGCTCTGGGTAGCCTGATCTTTTCCACTGTTACCTTGGCTTTAAAAAACCATATAGCTTCCAATTTGATTTTTACTGTCGTAAGGGGGTTATAGTTAGCCTCATCAGCTAGTTAACTGGAGTGAATGCTGATATTGCTCTCCCTTGGGTATCCTTAACTCCCATCTTACTTTATGTCTCTTCTCAACCTCTGCAATTTACAAGTTACGCAAGTCAGCCAATGAACATTTTAGCTGAATACATGTGCTTCAAAAATTAAGAGAACTAGCAGAGTTCAGGACTGAACCTCTCTTGGTCATTACAAGCAAGGCAATCCTTGCAATAACATCAGCTTTGGGAATTAAAGAAAGATCAGGTGTTCTTTATATGTCTATTCATTGCTGGGCCTCTTCAATTTGTAATGCCTTATCTGTGTTATAAGTACCAAATCAAGTGGGATAAAGGAGAGCTCTTCAACTCGCGTTCCATCTTCTTCTGTAATCCATCTCAGACTTGGTTATATTACATTAGCAATGGGCAAAAATAAAATTTCTTACTTATACTCCCTTTTTTGTGTGTGTGTTGTGGGTTTTTTGGTTTTTAAACTGTCAAACTCAGATACACACCATCTAATCTTCTACGGATGCCAGTAGCAGGGAACAGTCACCAATTATCAAAACCAGAGACACATCAAAGTTGGTCTGAGAAAATGGGTATCTGTCAGTAGAAGACACCATCTCTAGCATGAATCTTAATAGCTTACAAATAGGACTAAGTTAATCTCTTGAAATTAACTACAACATCAAGAAAAAAAATTATTTCCATGATAAGCACATGATTTAAGGTTTCTATCCTAAACCAGACAAACTGTGCCACAACAAAAGACAGTATACAGATTAACTCCAGGATCTGGGACATGAGTAATTTGCATTTAAAATTTCTCCTTGGAAGAAGAAAGACTGAACAAAACCCCAAAGTTCATGATCAAAATGTGAGCAAAAATCTATGAACCTAGTAAAGCAAATCAGTCCGGTTGAGCCAAACATGTTAATCCATCACTTCTACTTTCTCTTCCTTTGCACTCGGCTGGCACTCACATTTTTTGTTCTATCTCACTCTGCCTCCTCCAGAACCTCTCTTCACAGGAGGGTAATATCTGAACAATTTGGCTTGTGAAGTTCACTGCCTGTCACAAGCAATGAAGTCCCTCTCTGTGCTCTGCAGAACACCCCCGCACAATACCAGTACGCTTCTCTGCCTATTCTCTCTGAAGCAGGCTGCTGTTACTCCCCGCACCACTCCAACTCTTCTCTGGGATGCAGCATTTGTTTCCATAGTAATGTCAGTTGCTTCCTTTCCTTCTTCATTGATTTTGACCAAGGAAAGGCTCTGCCTTGCCCAAACTTTATCTCCTCAGTGTAATAAAATCAGCAGGAGAAGTGAGCCTGCAAGTGCCTTGATTACTGCAATAATGCAAGAGGCCTGTGGCGTCCCTAATGAAGCTGGCTTATAGCTGCGTTTAGTGGCTGATTCAAGACGGCGAGAAGGCAGCCTCAAGCTTTTTTATGAGATGTAACATTCCCTTTTTTAAAAAGCTATGTCTCACACCCAGGAAAAGCAAGAAGTTATCAGATACCTCCTGGTAACTGGTGAAAGTTCAGTTGGCTCTTAGCTACAATTGCTGCCCAGTCTGCGGGCAAAGGCTTGAAATTAGTGGTAATATAATTAAACATAAAGAGCTAATATATCACCATGGTAACCATGATTTTCAGAATATTGGGGCTTAAACTATGGGTCACAGGCAGGATTTATCTTCAACAAGCTTTTCTCTTCCAGGCTCCATGAAAAATTTCACACCATGAGCCCTTATGTAGATTTACAAAGTGACCCGATATTCAGCACTGAACATGTAGTGCCAAGAGATGTTGTATGCTTGCTCTGCACTTTCAAAACTCAGGTTATTTTTACTGAGATGTGTTCCATAAGTAGGAACTATCACAAGGGATCATACAGACCGCAACTGCAGCTAAGCTCTTTAGGGCAGGGACTACTGTTTTGTGCGCAAGTTGAAGAGCACTTAGCACAACAGTGCCCTGATCTGTAATTGTGGCCCTTGTGCTCTGCCACAATATGGATGAGTCAGGTGCAAAAGCTGGTCTCGATTGATAGTCAGTACCAGCTTTTGAAATAGAAGTAGACAAGGTTAATCCTTAGGATAACGTATATCCACCTGACCCCTATTTACTAATGGCTGGGGCTAGAGTGTACCCTGAAGCCTGAGAATTTGTCTGTCTTCTAAAGCTCCCTTTCATATATTAATTTCCTTAATTCTATCAATTATATATACCCTGGTATAACTTCTGCTTAAGAGGTCTATAAATTCCAAAATCTAGAGATGACTGTTGAACACATATCGATTTTCTTGTACTTAAAATCAAATCTATTCTTTACTTAAACATGAGGATCTAAGCAAGCCTTAAAGCCAGAACAGTAAATTAAATTGGTTCTCTATATATAGCAGTTTCCTACTTCAACTGTCCTTCCCTACCCTGTTACTACTAAGCCATTTATTAAAACTTAAAAGCGATAGGATGCAGGCAGTCCTGGAATACAGAACACAAGCAAGACTCTGTTAGACTGTAAAACTTTGAATAAAAAAATTGTAAAACATGAATAAAATATTGTTTAGCACTAATGTGTTAAAATAGTGCTTTATGGGAGATTTTCTGTAGGGCAGATACAATGATACTTTGAAGCCACTGATATTTAGCTAGAAGGATTTTTAACAGAACCTATGTCACATCTGCTCAGCCAGCTCAAGAAAGAAAATACCAACTAAATGAATTCCAAGTGAAGAATTCATCTGTGTTCATGTGATATTTAATATTACTTATCGTACCAAGGTCAACTCCTGTTTGCGTCTTACAAAGCAAATTCTCCCAACCTATTCTTTTCCTTCAAAACTCAGCATAAGCAGCAGTCATATTTATGATGTGCATGCGACCAGCCAGATGCCATCAGCCTTTAAGATAAGAAAGTTCTGTAGGCAATAGCATAAGTAGAATATTCACCTTGTATTTTGTAACCAGAGATGAAGGAGACAAAAGAAAGGTATTTCTGACTAGCACTGAATGGAGAATTATTAGTCAACCATCCAACACAGCAGTTATGTAGGTGTACAGTGACAAGTTACCTTGCAGTCCTATGAGAGATCCACTATCAGCATACTGGGGAGAACATCAAATGTCTGGGTCTATTCTAATGCTTTCCCATCTCTGCATGTGCATCTCTGAACCACTCACATCTAAATGAAGTCTTCACCACATCTTACTAAAATCAATCGGGTGTTAGTGCAGTGCAGACTTTACCATCTTGCTTTCAATCTGTTTCAATTCTGTCTGTAAAATGGTGACTATATTGTCTTTTTCTTAGTTTGCTTTACAATATAACTGGGGACAGTCTTCCCCTATTATCTCTGTATCATACACACCCTGCACACAGAAGCTATCAAAAGCTAATGTAGTTAGGTTTACCACATTTTGTTATTATTTGAATGGTTGCTTTGCAACTCTAGTGTACGAACTACACACTGGAAGAAAGCAGGGAGGGGAGAAGAAGAAGAATTTCTTTCCAGAATGGCTGGACTATGCTGCCCAAGCTGCCTGCAGTGATCTGTGAAGGCAAAGACCTTCAGGCCACCTGAGGATTCCTGCTGAATACCCTTCTTTCCCCACCTCCTTCTATTTTCCAGGACATAAAATAATGGCTTAAGAAAAAACACCACATTTTCAGCAGAACTGAAAATGCAGAAGGAATGAGACTAATGTCCTCTGAGAGTACAAGAAGATAGAATGTGTCCTCAAACTGAAAGAAATCAGACACACAAATTAATCAGTGTAGAAGCTTGCTGAAAGAATAAACCTAAGTATCATTGTATTGCCATGATTAAAAATAGCAAAAGATAATGTATCACTGAACCCCCTTTCAGAATCATTGTTACCATCATTAATTGCTCTTTACTATGAAAAGTCCCCAGGGAACAGTGAGATGTGCAAGTTTCTGCATCTCCCAGATACAATATCCTGCCTTTTATCTCTATCGTCAAGACCCAGTATTTGTTTTTACAGCCAAAGTCTCAGTACCATGCTTTCTAACTTTACACAGATCCACAGCTATCCAAATAATCAACAGCCACATGAGTCAAAAATTAACACAGGTCAGTCTCTACCCATACAATTCTTGAATTTATTTCAGCCTGACAACCAGCTGAGCAGGAAGGTGCAAAAAAAGCCTTCCAGAGACTATGGGGATGAAGGGTATAACAGTCTCTCACAAAGCTTTGGGGATGATGTACTACATAAAAACTAAATGGATACAATAAAGTTGTCAGAGGTGATCAAAAACTCCCATTACCAAGCTGCCATGAAAGCCACAACAGCAGTAGTTAGCATGTTCAGGCAGATGAGCCCTCCCTGCAATAAGGCTAGGTTTTACAGTCCAAACAATTTCTAGTTCCTACCCGGAAACTACATCATATGACCTACACACCTCCACAGACGTTTCCAGTGATGTACAAAGAGAGAAAGAACCTGCCTCGAGGATGGAGTTTAGAAGCAGATGACTTTCATTCAATTTCAGCTTCCACAAAAGCCATGACCGGGGGAAAAAGCCAACACACAAACAAAATCCAAACCCAACAATCAACAAACTTGGATATGGCAAATAAATTCCTGATCACTATTCCATCAAATACCCCAACCCAGCTTTTCCCTGAAGAAACTTGGATAGGAACAGTCTTACTCGGCACCATCCTGAACAAGCCACGAGAGGGAGCATGTAACCTACGGCAGAGCAGAGCCTGCCGCGGGGACTGCTGCGAGGGGCACGGGCACCGTAACGTTGTGAGAACTGAAAGCATAATAAGGCTGCGAAAAACTGTGAAGCAAGGTAAGGCCAGAAATGAGCCGGAAAGCAGAAAGCGCAGATACAGGTTGTAGAAGAAAATGTTGACGGGATGAGCAATGTGCCAGAAGTGCTTTAGTGGAACAAATGCAGAGAACTGAACATTCCTCATGGTAAGTCATTCTGTTAATGAGACAGTAACATAAACATGAATCAACCACAATCCACCCCAATAACATGTGTTGGAGATGACGGGTTCCTTCCACAAAGCTCATAAGCTGTAACAAATATTCCTCATCCCTCATGTCTGTTGAGCTGTGTGATGCCCTCCTTGGTGCTTGCAAGTAACACTAATTAAATGTGTCTGGACCTTTCCGTTGTAAAATGAGACCCTAGCATCCCAATTCATGTCTTGTTACAATTGAGAGGATTTTGCAAGCTCCACAGACTCCACTGAAAGAAAAACAGCCATAGTAACATTCACATCAAAAGCACAGAAAATGTACACTGTCCGCAACCAATACATCAGATTCAACTTCCCTAGCTTAGCACCACAATTTGCCATTCCGTATTTCCTGCAAAGTAGTTTTATTTTATGCCAGTTATAAAGAACAGGTTTCCAGAGACTTGGCAGAAAACTATTACAAAAACATCAGTGCCAATAATGCAGCTCAAGAAAAAATTCCCACAGGGAAGGAAAATGTGTATTCAGACATCTTCCCCTCATCCCTTGACCAGCGAACTCATGAAATAATTGTCTCTTCCCATGAAAACTAGGACTCATACCAATGTCCCGGATTACACCTACAAAGATTATATATAGATGAGAGTTTTTTTCCTCCTAAACCATCAGAGAAGACCACTACGCTTATTTCCTCTTTTGAAGGATCTAAGGAGCAATAAAGAAAAACCCATCAGGAATAGCTTAGTTCAGCCACATCATTAATTGTGGCTAGTCTGGATCTAATATACTAAGTTACAGCAGTGTGGCTCCTAAAATGCAATCTGGGATTACATGTGTATTTATAAGCTGAGGGGGGAACAGGAGATGATGACACCCCAACAAATACAAAGCAAATTCACAAAGAGCTGATCCTGCTTTCCAGCACTGCTCTTTTTTCTGTGGATGGTACCTCAGCCAACTGTCTCTCAAGCACTTTCCCAATTCCTTCAGACACTGAGACACCTAAGTAATGCGTCATAAATCACACTGACAATACTAGCCTTGCATTTCACACACAGAAGCCACCTGCTCAAAGATTATACCACTTGGATACTGCATGACAGAAAAAGCAGTTGCTCTTACTTCAATAAACGTAAACCTAATTTCCTTGTGCTTACAAGTCAGTCATTCATAACACATATACATGACAGTTGGACTGACTCACTGTCTGTGTACTACCCAGGGATCTCTTTCACCATTATACCGTCACACTTGCAAGTCCTCACAAACTAGGATCAGAGTTGATATGATACAGACTGTAAATAAAGACAATAAAGCCTTTCCTTAAATATCTGCATGGTGTAAAGCTCTACAGTATTTAAAGCATATGCAGTTATTGCTTGGGTGGACTCTTGGGTTTCATTCAATGTCACTGCCTTGCAACCAGCAGTAGCTGCTTTCACCTCTGTGCATCACGGTTTCATCCAATTACACCTGTAAATTTCGATCTGGCACAAGGCCTGGACCACTTCTTCTACTGAAAGGACACTGGAACACTTCAGAAGCGCTCTCTGCTCCCAAAGTGACCTGTTTCAGTAGTTATGGTTCTGCCTGTTATGCTTCATTTACCTAATGAAACCTTGGATTCTAGATCACAAGGTCACTGGTGGTGAAACGAGCAGGAGCCTTACTTGTTTTCCAAAATGGCAGTAAGACAACATCACCAATACTTCCTTTGGACTGCCTGCCATTTGGAAAAGGTACATGGCTAGAATGCCCTTCTGCACTCCAGAATGAGGAAACATGAAAAGTCTCTTCAACCTCCACCAGGCTGTTTTCACCCATTCCATTCCTTATTTTCTTTTCACTTCTTCTCAATCCCTTCCAACCCTGCCCTCTTTTCCTCCAACAGAAATTAAGTTCTCCAAAAGCATCACCTGTTATTTCTATTGTATGTTCACGTAACACATCATATACTAAGATCCTAATCCTTGCACAGCAGGCATTTCTGAGCAAAAATCAAAGCTCAGGATGGTAACAGGCTTGAAAGCATCCATCTCCTGGGAGTCCAAGTATAAACACATACCATCCATTACAAACGCACATCAAGGCATTATCACTCCAGTCAAGGACAAGCATACTTTCCACTATAATTCAGATAGGGGTCTGACTCAGTGAGACAACAGAAGGTTAATAGCCATGGAAGGGCAAAGGAGGACTTAACTTTCCCATTTTACACCGTTTCAAGATGCCTTCATGTGGAAAGAAGAACTGCCATCAAAGGTAATTCAGTATAATGGAAAAGTAGGAATGCTCCCACTGAGAGCAACAGGTTTGAAGTATCCAATTCCATCAGAATGCCTTAATAACTTGAAGGCAAGACATCAGGGTTCACAAACTTTCTGGCTCAAGTGCCTCTCATCCAATCTGCGATTGGTCCCACTACAGCTATCACAGTGACATTACAGATTTTGTGTTAGAAAACAAGTAAAAAAAAAAAATAAAAATTAAGTCTGAAAGCAAAGAAAATAACAGTTTTAAATTATTCCTGAAAAAATTTCATTGTCTTGTGCCTTACATTGTACCACTTGAGTTTTGAATTCCTGCAGAGGTGAAAAATGTTCCATTAAAACTCCCACCTGATCTGCTCGGGTATATCTTACTACTAGGCATTTCAAGAAGTTCAGTAGCAGACCATCTATAAACTTCATCTGTAGCAACAGGATTGAGCCTGTGCTGCAGGTTACTGCACTCCATGCCGCAAAGGCTTAATGAAATCCGTTGCTGTTTGGTTTCCCAGGACTTCAGCTACACAATGTACTTTCCTACAGGTACTTTCCTTCAGATGGCATTCAGGGTATAACTAACAATCCATACTCTAAGTAGAGGAAAGAAAGGGAGGAGAAAAAGTGCAGCATCATCCCTCCTTAGGCTCTCACTTCTCATTATGAAGATACAGAAAGGGAGAGAAGGGAAACTGGCAGCAGACAACTGCTGGGACTCGCCTCCCAATCTATACTATACAACTGCCACTTTTGCATTTTCCCCCCCCTACGTGTTTTATTAGAAACAGATGGGGCCCCTGGCCTGTACATGTGCAAGTCCCCCTACACAGCTGCACAACCCTGAAATTGCAGAAATAGCAATCTCCTGAATAAATTTCTCCTGCCACTAACAACTGCTTTCTTTGCTGTAATGAAGACCACAGTGGGTCTGGAAAACTTTCTCCCAGTGTCAAGAGCCATCGGAAGGTTTATTTTGAGCCACAATGTATTTCTGTATTCACAATGAAATTCTAGGAACATGTGCCAGATGACTCTCCCCTCCCCAGAAATCACAGGGAAAAGCAGCCTAGTACAGTCTGCAAGAAGTATGAAGACAATGCAGACCAGAGAAATAAAATAATAAACATTTCTTATCCAAGAGTCATTTGATGGGAAAGAAAACACGTCCACTTATCCTAAATGGTTTCTGTACTGTTGAGGTCAACCTAATTAGAAGTTTGTTCCCAAACCAGAAGTTTCCAAATCAAGTAGTAAAGTTTCAATGATTGGAGCACACTGAAGTGAGAACTGGAAGGTGGAGCCAGATAATACTTAATCTACATGTGCATGGCAGCAGGCTTTGTCTGACAGCTCAGCCAGCTGGTGTCTAGGTAGACATGTTTAGGCAGGGGCACAGCTAGTCTCTAACAGCAGGATGCCAGCAGGGTCCCCGTTTCCCTGATAAGAGAACAGATTTTGATCCTGAGAAAACCCATACTTGCCTAACTTGATGCGTATTATGTTTTTCTTACACATAAAATTACTAACCTGAACCCCTGGAGCCTACTCACATTTTCTCCCCCTGCCCCAATAGTATTTCAGATATAAACCAAAGCTTTGCTGGAGCCCCTGGAAAATATCTGCATCC